TGTGATTTGGTCCATGCTGCAATTTCAGGAAACTGCCCCAAATCAGCACTGCTGCCCATGGGGTCTGTCTGAGGAGAGGAGTCAGTCCAGGCCCAACCCGTCCGACAAGCAGGGATGAAGTGGGAAGAGCTGCAAAGGTTAGACAAGGGAGAAGGAAGGGCATCATGAGGTGTCAAACAAATAGGAAACAATTGGGCTGCAATTACAAGGAAAATATAGGAGAAATTCCAGGAAGCCCAACTCTCACAGAGCTATTTGCAATGGAAATAGAGGGAAAGTCACAAAAAGTCACCCTCCGGCCTGAAAACCACAAGTTCTGGAGAAAAATATCACGTCGAATCACAGAAACTCTTTGAAGAAAAGGGTCTTTCATTCATTTAATTGGTCAGTTCATGCTCATCAAGCCTCCACCACGAGCCAGTCCTGTCCTGGGCATGGAATCCTGTCCAGGTTTGAAGTCGAATAAAACTCAGCCTTGCCCTCAGGCCACACATTGTAGAAAGGTCATGGAGAGAAAGCACCTGTGTTACGGTGGTGAGCCGTGTGCATACTGATAAACACTGCAACTTTGGAAAGTGTCAAATCTGAGGGTTTGTCAAGGACAGAGCAACTCTGCCTGGGGCAATCAGAGAAGGCTTCATAGAGGAGGCGATGTGAGCAGGGCCTCAAAGGAGGAGCGGGCATTCTCCAAATGGAGATGCGAGCAGAGCGTGTTATCAGCAGAAGGAAGAGTGTGGCAGAGGCACAAAATCCGGAGAGTGTGTGGCAAGTTCAGGGGAGAGCGGGCAGCCGTGCATTAAGCGCATGAAAAATACACACGGCTGCTGTTCTGGCTCTTCACTGCCCGTGTCCCCAGCACTGCGTGTGGTCTCCCTATCTAGGCCTTTTTGAACTTGATGGACTCAAAACATGACTGACTTTGTATATCTGCTTATGGTTTATTCCCGCCTTCTGAGGCACAAAGAATAATTATTTGAATGGGACCTCAGAGATTTGCTAGTCCAGCTCAGTGGGTTTGGAAAGTTGGCCAGATTACTGTGTGATCTTGGGCAAGGCACTTAACTGTCACACCTGTGCTCTGATGCCCTAAGAGACAACTTGTGACATAACGTATCTGGCAACACTAACAGGCACATTGAGTTGTCATAACACCCAGGCCTGTCATGCTTTCCAATTGTCAACTCCTTCCTCTCTCCAACCTCACAAGGCAGCGACTATGATCATTTCCATTTTACCAAAAAGGACACTAAGGCGCAGAGAAGTTGAATGACCTGCCAAAGTCATAGTTAGTACCGGGCAGAGGAAGGAGTGACACCAAGAAGGCTGCCACCATCATTGCTATTCCAGAGTTCTCAGGAACGTTCGATGAGATCTGGCAGATAAAAACCTCTACATACCTGTGCAATTAAAAGCTACACAGTGTGGTATGTCACGTTGCCATGGAGCGTAAAGTTGCAGACAATGTATAAACAATGCCAAATTGTCATAGAGCATAAAGATGCATGACATATATAATATTTTATCGTAAATTTAATATATTTATTGGAAAACTTACTACAAAATATTCTCTCAGCTACCTTGGTCTATTTCTTTATCATTGTACGCTCTGGCCTTGAGCTGCTCCCGGTGTTCCTGAGTTGCTGAGAAGGACTGGCCACATAGCAGGAGTTTTCTGCTCCATGTTCTCGATCGGCAAGCAGCGGTGACTGCTCTGGCTGCTGTGAGGGGCTGTGAGGCAGCTGGGAGCTTATTTCCATTTCCTCTCTTTCTGGCCAGCCTCGCTCTTGGCCATCTCTGGAAGGAGGGCAGCTTGTCTCAGGGCCAGAAGGGCCTCAGCGTCTTGGCAGTTCCTGAGAATCCCAAATTCAGCTTGTTTCTATCTTCCCTGAAATCACCTTCTCTAGAGCTCATCTCTTCTTAGGGTATCTCAGCCTGATTTTGGAAAAAGCCCCATTACAAATAGCCTTGTATGGAATACTGGGAAAAGTTCTGCCCCAGAGTTAGGAAATCAGGCTTCTGGGCAGGGAGAGGCCGCTGACTCACTGGCTATCCTGGGAAAGTCACTGCTCCTGTGTGGGCCTGTTTTCCCTTCTGTAAAATGAGGAAGTTGGATCAATGATCTGGAAGGTTCTTTCTGGCTTGAATACTTACAATGTAGCATCCATCTACTTGCAGTCAGAGACTAAGTATACTCTGCGATGTTGAGCACATTAAATCTAGAACGCAGAAGCTTGAATTGAGGTAGACCATTTGCCTGACATAACATGCCCTCCCCGTCCGCCCCTCTCCCTGCCAAGACTCCTACTTCGCTTCACACGGATTCCTGGTAGCTTAAAAATAGATCCACAAATTCCTTGAGACTCCCCCCTCTACTAGGTGCAGCCTGATTCCCCCACCCTGTGTGACTTCCAGAATTAGGTCATAAAGGCATCCCAGATTCTCCCTTGCTCTTGTTGTTGGATTGATTGCTCTGGGGGAAGCCAGCTGCTGTGTTGTGAGGACACTCAGGTAGCCCTATGGAGAGGTGTATATGGTGAGGGCCTGAAGCCCCAGTCAACGCTATGTGAGCAAGCTACCCTGGAAGCAGCTCCTGCAGCCTCAGCCAAACCTTCAGATGACAGCAGCCCCAGCTGACGTCTTGACTGCAACCCGTGAAAGACCTTGCTAGGACCACCCAGCTAAATTGCCCCTGGACTCCTGACTTTCAGAAACTGTGTTAGATGATAAGTATTGTTGTTTTAAGCTGCTAAATTCTGGGGGAATTTGTTACACAGCAATAGATAACTAATACAGTAGTAGTGTTTGCTATTGGTAGCAGTGGTGGTGGTGGAGTAACCATGACCCGTAATCCTGCCCCTGTGTCACTATACATTTCCTGTCTGGGGATTGATTGAATGATTGATGTATGTCTTTGGTCCAGAAATGATTTCAAAAGGCATAATCTGGGGCTCCCTAGCTCCACTCCTAGGCTTAGCATAGATCTAGATTTGGTGGATAATTCTGTGCCTGGACCAGGAAATATAAGTGTCTAGGCCAGCAGGCTGGTGAGTTGGTGTCATATGAATCTTGACCACGGTTCTCTCTACAGGCTCATTCCCTGTTCTAGTAACAGTTCCGCCCACTCGTCTCCTCTGCCACGACAACCACATGGGTCCCTGTCACCCCAAGAGAGCTCTGTGGTCATTTAGCTCTGTCTGCCATGAGGGTGAGAGGGAGAGTGGCAGCCTGCTTGTCAGGCAACCTCTGTTTTTAATATGAAGCCCATGCTTCATATGGTTTTCCCTCTTAATCCTTTCTCTGTGACACCGGCTGTTAGGCCTCCTATGGGATAATGGAATGTGTGTGGTTTGCTGTTGTTATTGGTGTGCGTATTCTCTAATGATTAAAAAAATCCCTGCATTTGGAAATGTCACAATTTAGAGTACACAGAGTGGCTCCATGGTCTCACTGAGTGCTGAGCGAGCTGGAGCAGGGGTGAGCGTTAGCTCCTCTTGTATGGAGAGGGAAATTGAAGCTCAGAAAAGGCACCTACTACAAGGACTGTCTCTGTCGCTCTATTTTATGATGGGATGTCTGTCTTCAATATTATTCTATAGAGATTCAGGCTCATGGAATATGTTAAGACTTTAGGTTCAGCTCAGATCTACAGACGACTCCTTTATTCCTATCCTGCTTGGGGTGGCGGAGCACACTTAACAGGAGTCTAGAAGACTCTGCCTACCCAAGATGGGAGGAAGGGAAGGCAAGTGTGCAGGGCCTGCAGGCTGCGTGCTTGCTAGGAGGTCTCCCAGGGTTGGGCTCTTGGCCTTCTCCTTTGGTGTTGTCATAATAAAAGTGACTGCTGGCATTTTTCAGGAATAGCAATCCCCATATTTAGGTGATCTTTGCAGCTTACATAAGGCTTTCCTATGCCTGCCCTTTGTTACTTACCACAAGCCCCTGTGGGAGGTATTGGTATTGCTCCCTGTAATGGTTAATTTTATGTATCAACTCGGTGAGGCTATACCCAGATGTTTGGTCAAATGCCAGTCTGGATGTTGCTGTGAAGGTGTTTTTAGATGAGATTAACATTTAAATGGTAGACTTTGAGTAAAGCAGATTGCCCTCCATAATATGGGTGGGTCTGATCCAATCAGTTGAAGGCCTGAAGAAGAAACAGGCTGACGCCCTCCCCCTCAAAGAAGAGGGAATTCTGCCTCCAGACTGTCTTTATATTTGACAATATCATCTCTTCCCTGTGCCCAGGCTGCTGGCCTGCCCTAGAGATTTTGGACTTGCCAGCCTCTATAATTGTGTGGGCCAATTCCCTACAATCTCTTTCTCTCTCTCTCTCTATATGAAAATGAAGAAAATGATAAAGAAGATAAAATCACCTGTACTCCCCCAGCAGACAACTAGTTTTAATATTTATAGTATTTTCTCCCAGGACTTTATAGTCCGGTCTTGTATTTCCATGTGACCAATCTCAGGATCTAGTTTGGACAATGGTAACAATAACAAAAAACAACAGCTACATTTAGTAATCACTGACCACGTTCCAGGTCCTATTTTAAGTGCTATGCAGGTGTTAGCTAATTTAACCCATAAACGACCTCAGGAGGTAGGTGCCGGCACTGTTGACATTTCACAGATGAGGGCAGTGATCAGTAGGGGAGGTAAGAGAGCTGCCCCGTGTGCACAGCTGATGAGTGGCGAAGGCAGGATTTGCGCTCCAGTCGTGTGGCTCCAGAGCCGGTATCCCACGGCGCTGCTTGCGGGAAGGAGGACGGATATGGAAGGAGACAGGGAGAAAGTAGGTCAGCGAGTCGAAGCTGTTTAGCCGCAGCTCCCTCTCTCTGTCTCAGCTGGGCAGGAGTGAAGAGAACGCAGGCTTTGGGGGCCATGACTCTGGCTTCGGGTCCTGGCTGTTTGTGACTGTGAGGGGGCTCTGCAACCTTTCATTATCCCCACTTGCAGATGAGGAACTGGAAACTTAAAACTCCCTTTCCACGGTGCCGTGAAGATGAGAGATAAGATACTTAAACCCCCGGGGTGATACCCGGCGTGATGCTCAAGAACTGGCAGCTGTCAGGGTTGTTGATGAAGATTTGCAAGTCCAAGAAAGGATGATTCCTGGATGCGGCCCTGCTAGGAACAGGTGGGGGCGCTGCTGAGCAGGAATTTGAAGAATACATGGGACAGTGAGCTAAGGGATTCAGGGTCATCTGTCACCATGGTGGCAACTGACCTCGAGCCTCCCAGCAGAATCCATCAGGGCAGGGACATTTCTCTCTCCCTCACTCATTCATTCATTCATTTGTTCAACAAGTATTTCTTAAGCCCATGGTACCCAGCACTGTTCTCGGTTTTGGGCTATGTCAGTAAACAAAACAGAAAAAACTGCCCTTCTGGTGCTTACATTGTAATGAGGGAAGATAGACAATAGACAATAAACATGACAAAAAAGGACATTATTGAGGATGTTCTAAAGTGATAAGTGCTGTGAGAAAAATAAAGCAGGTTAGTGGGACTGAGAATGCTGGGGGTAGGACCATCAGATTTTAAAGAGAAGTTAACTTTTGACCAGAGACTTGAAGGGGGAAGCCATGGGTATAATCTTGGGAAAACAGTTCTAGGCAGAGAGACAAATATGCCAAGGAGGCCAGTGTGGCTGGAGTGGAGTGAGCCAGGAGGAGAGCAGCAGGTGGTGAGGTCAGAGTGGTAACAGGGCACATGGACTATAGGGACCGTAGTCCACGACAGAACTTTGGCTTTTACTCTGAGCCAAATGAGGAGCCAATGGAGGATTCTGAGTAGAGAAATAACTTTATCCATCTTATTTATTAAATGGGTCGTTCTAGTAGCTCAGTTGTGAATGGACAGTAGGGGTCAAGGCTGGCAACAGGGGGACGAATTAGGAGGCTGTGGCATAAATCCAAGCTGGAGATGATGATGCCTCAGACGACGGTGGAAATAGAAACGGTGAGAAGTGGTCAGATGCTGGATATACTTTGAAGGTCAACCCAGCATGGTTTCCTGACAGACTGGATGTGGGATATGAGAGAAAGAGAGAGGTCAAGGGCGACTCTAAGCTACTGGCCTGTCTGACTGGAAGGACTGAGTTGCCTTCAACTCAGAAGAAGAAAAGTGGAGATGAAGCAGGGTTTGGGAAGAAGGTCAGGAGTTCAGATCTGGGGATGCTGAGTTTGAAATATCTACTAAATATCTAAGAGAGACGTTGAGTAGACAGATATATGAGACAAGAATTAGGAGAGAAGCCTGGGTTAAGGATGCATATTTAGGAGTTACCAGAATATGGTCCACAAAGCCATAAAACTGGATGAGATAATCAAATATCTATCTATTGTGACAAGAGATGGGAAGAGGACTAAGAATGGAGCCCTGTAGCCCACCAACTTTAGGAGGAAGAGAGAAGAGAAGGAACCAGTAGAAGACACTGAGAAGGAGCCATCTATGAGATAGGAGGGGAATCAAGAGAATGTTGCAAGCCAAATTAAGAAAGAGCATCAAGGAAGAAGGAGTAATCCACTGTGTCAAAAGCTGCTGTTAGGTCAAGGTAACTGACCATTGGATTTAGCAGCATGCAGGTCACTGGTGACCTTGACGAAATTATTTTCACAGAATGTGGAGTAGAAACATGACTGGAGAAGGTCCAGGTGAAATTGGAGTGAGGATGTTGAGACAGAGAGAATACAGAAGCTCTTTTGAGGAGTTTTTCTGTAAAGGGAAGTAGAGAAATGGGGCAGTGGCTGGAGGAGCCCGAAGAGTCAACCCAGGGTTTTGTAAAGGTGGGAAGGATACAGCACGTTCACATGCTGAAGGCAAAAGCAGAAAGGAAATTTGATAGCGTAGGAGAGAAAGGAGATGATTACTCCATCAATGCCCTTGGGAAGTGAAAGGGAGTGGGTGTAGGCCACTCGTGGGAAGGCCTCAGCAGCGCAGGACAGACCATCTACGCTGACAGGAGGACGCAGAGCATGTAGGCAGGATGCAGGGCGGTGGGTGGACACGGGGTGGGAGTGTGTGGCAGTTATCTTTGGGTTGCATCTGTTTTCTCAGCGACAAGAGTAAGCAAGGTCATCAGCTGAGAAGGAGAAAGAGGGAGGAGGTGCTGCAGGTTTGAGAAAGGAAAAGGTGTGGAGTAATCTCTAGTTTTTTCTCTGTCCCTTAAATAGGAGTTGGCACAGGAGAAATGTTAATAAGACTCAAGACACAGAACTGAACAGTATTTCTATACCATTACCCGCCCTGTGCACTGGCTTTGGCATCTGATGTGGTTTGCATCTTGGCTGTACCCCTCTCTAGGTGTGTGGCCTTAAGGACATCATGGCCCCTTCTTCACTTTGCTTCTTCTCATATGGAAAGAGGGGGTTAAACGAGGTAACCAATGATATGCGCCCAGCTAGTGCCTGGCATGTAGTGGATGCTGTGACAAAGCCATTGCCGTTTCCCCAGGCGCTATCATTGCCTCAGCCCAGTGCACTGCACAATGACCTCTGAGTCAGAAGAATTGGGACTGGACAACTTTTCCATTTTTGCATCTCAATAAACTAGAGATAATATAGTAACAGACTTAGACTAACCATTATAGGCCAACTCCTAATTTTTTTTTCTCTTAAAAATGGAAGGAAAGATTACGTGAATTCAGATTTACTATCTTCCAAGCAAATTGCCAAGTTTGTCTATTTCCAAATCAATAAATGGTAGAGTGAACAATTACAAAAGAAAGACAGGCTGGGCCAGCCAGGCGCTGGCTGGCGACTTTTGTGTAAGTTGCTCCCCTGCATTTCAGATCCTTCATCTGCCAAGTGGGAAATTGCAACCCGCCCTGTAGGGGCACGTGTGGGGACTGAGGACGTAGTGGCTGAGCAGCAGAAGCAAACAGCAGTTCACTGTGGAGAACTCACAAGCACTCAGGATGGCGGCCGCGGCCTGTGCCTCCACGGGAACCTGGGGCCCCTGTGCAGGAGAGCTTGTCAAGGCCTTCCAGTGCGCTGTAGCACATCAGAGCCCAGCGCTGCTGCTGGAGGAGGGTTCCAGAGGGCCTAGGGCAGCCTCACATTCTCCTTTTGTTTCTGACCTTTGCAGTATTTCCCAATAAAACTGTGACACACAGCTTATGCTTTGGACTAGACAGAAAGCAGAAAATGGTCAGGTTGCCCAGACCTTAACAAGGAACAGATTGACAAGAAGCACATCGCTCCCTCCCATCTCTCCCAATCCTCCAGGAGAAGCATCCAGAACTACGGGTCCCCAGGCCGCCAAAAGGACGCGGACTCTCAGTGGCAGGCCGTGGAAGGGCAGAGACATTGGAGTCTATGGTCCTGGGTTTGGACTCCAGGCTGATCGTACAGCTGGTTTGCCCAGGACAGTCCCAGATCAGGCCTAGTGACCGTGGATAATGATTGCTAGCACCCCCTTCCCCTTCCAAAGGTGTCCTTGTTTGCCTGAGAAATTACAAGGTCTTCCTGTGGGTACGCGACTTTTGCTTTAACTTCTTTGAACCTCCATTTTCACATCTGAAAAATGAGAATCATCTTTTAGACACTGCAGGATTATTGTTGATAGTTATACATGATTGAAATAATGGTGATTAAATAAGCTATTGTCAACTTTAAAATAAAATAGCCAGTTATTTCACCAGCAAAATGAGTTTATTTGGGAATACCGAAAGAATTGCAATTCGGGACACGTGAACTATGCTGAGCCACAGGCAGGTCCTGAGAACAAAGGCGGGGAGCTTGCTTTTATAGTGAAAAAGGGGGAGTTGGGAGGGGCTGTTCTAAATGAAATTTCATTGGAGGAGAGGAAGAGTTCAGGGTGATGACAGGTCCTTGTTGGCTGAGCTGGGGTATTTTTCATTGGCTGGGCTTGTTGCTGGGCAAAAAGAAAATCTTCCTTCCTCCACAGGAGTAGTAGAGCAGGAGGCAACTTCCTGCTGGAGATGCAAGGTGCATCTCTTCCTGTTGGGGATAATTGAGGATGAGTGGTAGGGCGAGAGAGCTCCCACTAGAAGCCTTCCTGATTCCAATTTTAGTTAAAGTTTCTATTATTAATATTCACAGTATAATGGCTAGTACTTTAATATTAACATTGCTCTGGCTTATGCTCCCACCTTCTCCAAAGTATTTAAATAAAATTCTGGCTGATCCTGTGACCTCTGGTCCAGCAATTCTCAACCCTTAGGGAACATCAGAATCCCCTGCAGGGCTTGTTAAAACAGATGCTGGGCCCAACCCCAGAATTTCTGGTTCAGTGGGTCTGTGGTGGGGGTGGGGGCTTGAGACTTGGCATTTCTAACAAGCCCTGGGTGAGGCTGATGCTGCTGGTCTGGGGACCACGTGCTCAGCACCGCTGATCTGGTTTCTTCTTTTCTGTTCACTTCCCTGCTCCCGCCAGAATGATCTTTCCAGGACACTAATCAGTCCATGTTGCTTCCACTGCTTGAAACCTTTCCGTGGCTCTCTAGTGTCCTCAACAAAAAGCCCACCTCCTTAGCAGGGCACTCAAGACCACCCGTCTTCCCTGTTGCCTTCACCTCCAGTTGCAGTGCTCGCCTGCAGCCTGGGCAGCCTTCTCGAGGGGCAGGCTCCTTAGCGACAAGCTCAGGCACCAGGCAGTTCTGGGCCTGAGTTCTGGCTCGGCACATGCTCTATTGTGACTTTGGGCAAGTAACTGAGCTCCCTCGTGCACGTGGAAACGGAGCTTAGCAAGGTAGAAAATTCTTTCCTTCGCGCTGAGCCAGGAAGGCTAAAGGAACTGCGTGGGGTGCGGCAGCTCCGCGCCTGCCCTGTGGGGAGGCCCCTCAGGGCCATCTGATGGTCTCCAGGGCCCCAGCGTGCCTGCCTGACCTGCTGCTCTGGTCCCCGCGTTCTGGCGACTCTTGCTGACCCGTCTAAGTACCAGCGGACGGCGCCCAGGCCAGACCTCTGTGAGTGCGTGGTCAGGGGGGCTTCCTGGAGGAGGTGGAACTTGGGCGAAATGTCCCTTTCAATATGGTCACCAGCTTGCTGTTTTCTATACCCTGTTTCATTTTTTTCACTGAATTTTCTTTCACTCATTCTTCCATTTCACAGCAACTATGAATCGAGCCGCTCTTCTGCGCCAGACGCTGTGCCGGGGCTACAGAGGAGAACAGGCTGGAAGCCCCGGAGGCTGGCTGGGAGGCAGCGGGCGGGAGGAAGGGGCAGGGGCTTTGGAGCAAGCGCGCCTGGAACCGAACTCGCGGTCGACCTCGCCCTGGCTGGTTCGCCGGCTGGGCGGCCGTGCGGGGCGTGGTCTCTGAGAGGGGGCTGCAGACCCCCAGGGCGCAGGCGTGCTGGGGAGGGGATGCGCGTGTTCGCCGAGCGCTGGGCCGAGGGAAGGAGCTCGAGGTGGGCGCCCCGGGGGAGAGGGGGCTGCACACCTCTCCCCCATAACCCTCCCTAAGGCCCCAGCAGCCCCTGAAAGGAAAGCCTTCCTCTGCCAGCCGCCGCCTGTTTCTCTTCTCCAGAGCCAGTTCCAGATTCATCCCGCGGGCTCTCAAAGGGGATCACAGTCCCCGCGGGGATGAACTGAGACCAGCAGTGGTGGCCCCGAGATCGTGGCATCCCCCTGTGCTCTGCGGCACAGGCGGGCACCGGGAGGGAGGAGGAGCCACACCCCCGAGGGCCTCCTGTCGTGGGGCGCCTGGCTCGGAGAGGGGCCGGTGTCGGAGTCTGCTCCCCCGGCGGTACCGCGCTGGGCGGCTGGCACAGCAGACGTTTTCCCCACGCCTGGAGGCTGGACGTCCAAGGTCCGGTGTCAGCAGGGTTGGTTCCTTCTGAGGCCTCTCTCCCTGGCCTGTAGACGGCTGGCTTCTCCGTGTCTTCACGTGGTCTTCCCTCTGTATCCGCCTGTGTCCTAATCTCCTCTTCCTAGAAGGACGTCAGCCATGTTGGACTAGGGTCCACCCTGATGACCTCACTTTAACTTCATCACCTCTTTAAAGGCCCTGTCTCCAAATACAGTCAAGGTTTGAGGTGCTGACGCTCAGGACTTCCACGTCCGAATTTTGGGGGCACACAATTTAGCCCATAACAGGTGGCCAGCCTCCAAGGTGGCCCCCAATGATCCTGCCTCCTTCTACTCACACCCTTGTGACGTCACTTCCTACCCTATCCTGGGGTTGGCCCATGTGACCAATAGTACATGGCGGAAGTGATGGTGTATCACTTCCCATGGGAGGGTATAAAAGACCCCATTTCTGTGCTGGTTACTCTTGCTCTCTCTTGGATCATTTGCTCTGGGGGAAGCTGGCTGCCATGTCATGAGCCTGATGTGGCCGGGAACTGAGGCCCCCTACCAACAGCCCCGAGAGCTAGCGGTTGTGACAACAGGGCCTTCAGCTGCAGTTAAACCCTCAGATAACTACAAACCCCTGAGACCCTGAGCCAGAACCGCCCAGCTTGGCTGCTCCTGGACTCCTGATGCTCAGAATCTAGGTGAGATAATCAATGTTGCTTTAAGCTGCTAAATTTTGGGGTAATTTGTTACTCAGCCATGATAACTAATACACAAGGCTTGGAAAAGTTAAAGGTATGGGAATTGTAAATGCAGAGACAGAATTAGATTCCTGAATTTCTGGCTCCCTGACCAGTATGCTTTCTAGCCCATCCTGTTACCTGAGCCAGGATGAGCTTTGCACATGGGTGGTAGCAGTGAGGGATGCAGGAAAGAGAGGAGGAGAGAAGGAAGGCCCTCGATAACCAGCTGGGAGAGGCTGAAACCACAACTCGAATTGACAGTTGGAAACGAGGAGCCCAGGGCCACGCTAGTCTGTGGCCCCCACTGCCCCAGGGCTGCAGCTCCTCCTCCGCTGTCCGGTCCTGTCTGTAGTCAGAGGGGCAGCCTCACCTGCAGGACCACGACAGGCCGGGCTGTGGGCATCCCCAGGAAGGCCGTGTCAGTCTGAATCACCCCTGTCTGTCTGATCAAAGGCCTGCTTTAATCGGCGTGCGCTTTTTCTCAGGGCCTTGCAGTGCCTGGGGCCTGGCGAGGAAGTGAATCGAAATGAGCAGTTATCCATCACCTACTGTGTGCCAGCGCTGGGCTAGCTGTGTGATTTAATTTCATATTTAGAGGGAACTTGAGAAGCATGTATTTCTATCATTGCCTGACAGAGGAAAGAAATCGGGTTCAGGGAGCTGAGACAGAACATGTGAGGTCTATTTCCCAGCTGGTGAGGAAGGATGTGATCAGTTCTCCTTCTCTCCACGTGCTCAGCTGCACCAAGGTCTCCGGCCTTGCCCCTCCACCAGGCTATATTAATGAGAAGGGAGCCAGACTTCAAAGAGCCTTATTTAGACACGTGTGTTGAAGTACTTGCCATGTACCTGGCACTGGAGGGAGAAGGAAGCAACAGGAGCAGAGTCCTTGTCCCTGAGACTTGGGAGGAGAAGACCTCACACTGGATCATATTCACTTGATTACTTGAGACAGAAGGAAGCACAAAAGGGTGTGCGAGATGAGGCTATGTTTAACCTGCCCTGGGCAGTCAGGGAAGGCTTCCTGGAGGAGAGGATACTAGAACTGAGTCTTGACAGAGAAGTTGAAGTTAGACAGGCAAACAGGAGGAGTGGAATGTGTCCTAGGCATATTGTAAAAACCTATTTATGAAAAAATGCTGATTTTTAAATGTCGTCAATTAATTTAAAAATTAAAAAATATTCTAGTGGATCGAAAAATCATGCCTCTGGACTGTTAGCTGGTGGCGTCAAGCTTCTAATTCTGAGCACAGTGTCTGTATCTTCATAAACGGGTATTCAATGAATGAATGAATGAATGAGGTGGGAGAGAATGTGATGTGCCTCCCAGGCCTGCAGGGGTGGCTGTGTTTTCCTCTTCACACATCTTCACACAGTTTTCCACCCTTGGCCTCAGTTTCCCTGCCTAAAAGCCAAGCGTTCCAGCTGCTGATCTCTGAGGACCCTTCCTAATGTGGCCCTGCGGCCCCTGGGAGAGGGGCGGATTTCCCATCCTGAGGGACGGGGCTGTGGCACTGATGCGAGGCGGCTGTTGTTTGCTGGCTCGGGGTTTGGAGAAGGCAGGGCTGTGTATGGGCGGCGTGTTCTGTCCTTTCAGTTCTTCTCCCCCCAGGGTGGGGCCTTACAAAGATGAAGGTCCCCTGGGAACATGGAGGGAGAGGAGAGGGGGTGGGGCTCAGGCCTCCCTGCCTTTGCCAGGGCCACACTGCTCCTCTGCCTTTCATGTCCCTTCCACGTCCACTGCCCTTGCCCTGCCACCCTTCCTAAGGTTTCCACAGTCCTCCCGGTCTTCTGGCTGCCCTCACCCCCTTCCCTGCTACTCAGAAGCATCCTGTCCCCATCCTACCCTTTTTCCAGAGGAGCGCCTTTAGGCTTGGACCTAACTAAGAGATCGCGCTACCAACGAGCTCACAGAGAACCCGCGTCCCATCTGAGAGGCTGTTGGCCAAGCTCCCCAACGAGAGGCAGTGGGGCAGACAGGATGCGAGCAGATTTGGGCATTTCACAGACTTGGGTTCCAAGCTCAGCAATGCCATCCCCTCACTGAACATCCGTGTTTGAGACAATCTCTCTGCGCCTGAACTTATTCATCTGTAAGATGGGGATAATGATACGGCCCCTAAATGTATGCTGTGAGGACTTTTAAAAAAGTAACAGACATTTCTTGAGCCATCATTACATATAAAGCACTTTACAAAGGACCTTATCGTACTGTTGCATTTCATTCTCACAACAGCCCCGTGAGCTCGGTGCTGTCGTTATCTCCATTTTACAGGTGGGAAGACTGAGATGCCGTGGAGTTAAGCAAGCAGTCTGAGGTCGCACAGGTAGTTAAAGTGGCAGAGCCTGAATCAGACACAGGAGGCTCTGATTCCAGAGCCGACAGATGACCAGTGACTACGATCAACTTAGAAAAGATCTCAAACCTGACCTGCGCTCGTTTAGCCTCAGGAGGAGGTTTAATGGGCCAGACAGGTGTTAGGTGGCCAACTTCAAGTTTATTGAAATCATTTTTGTAAAGAGTTTTCAAATGGCTTTTCAGTGACATTATCTTACTTTCACCTCTCAGCAACTCTGTGGGGTGGGTATTAACCCATTTTTCAGATGGGGCAACTAAGGCTCAGAGAGCTACTCAACAGTTGAGCCAAGACTTGAATCCATTTTACCCAAAACACAAGCTCTTTCTGTTTCTTCATGGTGTTTGTCACTGGTAAGGTGAATTAATTATATTATTCATTAATCACAGTAATAGGTCAGTGAGCAAAGAAGGACATGGGACAAGTTGATGTTGATGACAGGAGGGAAAGGCACAAAGCTGGGCTTGGACCCCAGGCTGTCATGGAGAAGGGGAAACCCATGCAGACGGGTGATGGGCAGTGGTTCTGGGCTGGGTGTTCCCTGGGGTTGAGGGGTTTGCAGTGTGTTGAAGGTGGGCTCTGCCAGTTTCCTGACCTTGGAGTCTCAGGTGTCTTTATGCCATGGCTGTGGTGTAGGCAGAGATAGGAGCAGTCAGGAGAGGACATGACGAGCATATTTTTAGGCAGGTCAAAAGGGTTGAACTGTTGCATCCAGATCTTGCGACTTGCTTTTTTACCTTAAGCATTTGTAATCTAGCCTCATCAACTGGCACTCTCTGTTCTCCAGCCACCTTAAATGGTCTGTGTTCTTTTTTACCTCTGGGCCTTTGCATATGCTGTTCCCTCAGATGGTCAGAAGGGGAGGCTGCAGAGTGGGCAGAAAGGCAGAGAGGAGACTATTGTTTTGGGAAAATTCCCAGGTTGGATGGCTATAGAGTGTAATGGCTAAAAGTTTGTTACTGACTAGTAACTACTTAACTTTCTGCCTCATTTTAATCATTTGAAAAATAGAGTTGATGATAATAACAACTCAAAAGGTTGATGTGATTAGCAAATGTAATGGTAACGGGTCACTGGAGGATAAAGTAAGAGAATTCATACAGGATGTCCAGCATGGGTCTTGCATCGAGTTGGCAGGGAATAGTGGTGAGGCCTCTCATTCCTAGTCTTGTAGAAGGCTGTCCTGATGCCCCCTTCCCCAGCAACTCAGTCATACAGTGTTTGTGCTACGTGTTCTCCAAGCAGCCGTCAGAACTCCAATTCGCCAGGTCTGGAGTGGGTTCCGATGGGCCAGCCCCTGTTTTGCAGGCAGGCGTTTCAGGCGATTCCAATGGGTCCCACTTAGTTTAATTGTCTAAGCTGGTGTTTCTCAATCCTTCCCCATGAGATACAAGGCATTTTTCTGGCCTCTGGACTCTGTGAACGTGGGAGCTGCACCCGTGCTGTGTACCGATCTGACACCCCAGCACAGGCCTGGCACAGAGGAGCTTCCGGCTTGCGTCTGACGCTGACGCTGCACAGCCTGGGTGCCTGGCTGACACTTGTCTCTGCAGCACATGTGCAGACAGAACTCAGAACAGGGAACCACTCTCCTTTCCTGGCCTCACTGTCACTGCTTAGTAGTTATTTATAGGGATCTGTCCCTGTTCAGATGAGCTCTGTCTCCTTACTGGACGCTGGCTGATGCAATGGCAGGACAGTGTAATGAGGAAGCGCGTGAGTTCTGGAGCCAGCAAGCCCCAGCCCGCCCTTTTACAAATGGGAATACTAATAACCCGAGCTTTGTACCTTACACAGGTCTGTGCTTGAGAAGGCCGTTTCTGAGTAAATTATGGAGAAATCCTGAGGCTCGCTCTCCGTTATCAGGCGTCCCCGAGCCGCCCAGACCTGTGGAGTGAGGTAACACTCAGGGAAGAAGGGTCGAAAGGAAGCCTGCTTCTCTCAAGATCTCACGGCCAGCTGCCGTTCAGGACAGCCCCTGTGGGTGCTGCCGAGAGCCCCAGGCTGGGGCAGGTGGGGACTGAGGGTGTGTGGAGACCAGGCTCAGACAGAGGGGCTTACCCACCGCACGCCCGCACTTCAGCTTTCCCTAGCAGCCCCCAAGGAAGTCACCCAAGTCCCGTAGGACGTGAGCCTGTTGAAAGGCAAGAATGTCAGCCTCCTTGTCATGCAGGGGCCACCGTAACTGGTCTGGTGGCCTCTCATCCCTGCCGCCAGCCCCTGTGGCCTGGATGCCACTTACAGCTTCACTGTCAAACTCTGGGTATTAACCATAATTAGGCTTCCGCCCTGAGCTGCACGGGGAACGAAGGCCAGCTGCTTTCCCCTGACCTGGACGTTTGAATGGCAGGAAGGCCCTGGGTAGGGGACCTGAACACTGTCCTGGATTCTGAGTCTTCATGTCCTAGGAAAGTCTCTAGAAACCCTGGAATGTGAGAGCCACAAAGCCCAGAGCTCTGTAAGAGGCCCTGCTCTGTGTGTGTTGTGGTTGGTTTCTGAGTAAATCGTAGGAAAGTCCTGAAGCAGGAAGCTGAGGCTTGCAGAGAGGCGAGCGGTGACTCCCTCACGGCCTCGCGGCGTGTCAGTCAGAGCCGAGCTGGGACTTCGCCTGGGCTCCTGACTCCCCGTCACCACCGTGCATTCCCTTTCCTTCTCGGCACCTGTTGTCCTTATCCGTGAAACGGGTTCATTCCTGAGGGTGCCTCTCAGGACGCATGTGAGATTCAACCCGGCCGTCCGAGATGCTGCCAGGCTCCCCTGACTCATGGTCGAGAAGACTGGCCCGCTGGCAGAAACCGGTTCCTTCTCTGGTTCTGGCACTTGGGTATGACAGAGGCCTGTCCCTTAACCACCTAGTTCTCAGAGGTTCCAAATGCAGTAGGAAATGAGATTCTTGACCTCATGAAATTTATAGAGCCATGGAGAGTTGGGGGCCAGAACACCGGGAAAGGTGCCAGGTTTGTGTGCAGCCTGAATGTCAGGGTCTCTCCACAGCTTTCTGTTGGGTGCCTACTGTGGCTGGCAGACAGAGGCACCAGCAAGAGTGCAGCAGGCAGTGGACCCGGCCTCCATTTGGTCTGCGCACACCACATCCTCAGAGCAGTTGTCACACTGGCCTGACACAGTCTCTCAGAGGATGGAGGCTGTGTCTCCTCCTTGGGTGTCTGCAGTCCTCAGTGTAGTTGCTGGAAAAGAACATGGAGGGCCCTCCGTGAAGTTTTGTGGACAGACAGTGAATACAATGAGACAGGGAGGCTGAGAGAGGCCGTGGAATTGTGTCTGGAGAATGGCAGACCTAGACTCGCTCTCAGGACTGCCTGGGTGCAGCCTGCTCACTCTCCATGGCGCGACTCTGTTGAAGTCATGCCATGTGTATGCCAGGAGCCCTCCGTAGCAATCTACCAGAGTGCTGCAGTTTCAGGTCATGGAGACAAGTTAGATTCCAACACTGGACACAGGTGTGCTGTCTCAGGGCCGCCTCTCCTGCCTCTCCCATGAAGCAGATGGTCGCATGGTGATGGGACAGCGCCCTCTTGGAACGTCTTCATCCTTTATCCCCAGAGACCCAAGTCTTGCCCATCCTTGTGGGATCCTATGTGGTTCTGCCTCCTCCTCACGATCTTCCTTGATGGTTACAAGAGGATGGGCCTTTGAATGTAGGTCTGTCTGCATGAACTCGATTTCTGCCCCACAGCCGACTGGTTGTGTGTACTTGGGCAATTTTCTCTCTGGGCCTCCATTTTCCAGCCAGCGATAAAACAGGTAGAATGATGCAGTGGCAGCCATGGAGGTGTGAAGGCCCCTGGCTGCAGCCCCTCCAGGATCTGCCTCAGCCTTTGACCTGAGGCCACACCCCGCCTGGGCAGCCCCAGGTGATGGCTGAGTTCCTGGGGCTTTAGGGCCTGGCTCTTTCTGCCTGAGGTGGGAGTCCTCTAACTGGCTCTTTGCTGCAGAGAACCTCATTGGGCGGGCCGAGTCCGTTGTCAGTTCTGCATTGCTGTTGGGGTCACCCCCTGCCAATCCTGCTCCCTCTCTGCTGTCCTTTCCAGGTGTCAGAGCCCTATCCCAGCCCGAAGGCTTTCCCTGCCCAGTTCTGCCTTCTCCCCCTTTCTAACTTGTACAGACATTACCTCCAACTTTCCACTTGTATCTCTAACTCCCCTCGGCATGTGCTTCCCGGAGAACCTAACACATCCCTACATAGTGAGGACCAATAAACAGTGGACATAATTGTAACAGCAATCATAACGGTTATTATTGTTGTTACTGTTTCTCCTGATTAAGAAAAACCTCTAGCCCCTCCGGTCAGGGAAACCCGAAGTGGCAAGTACACAGGGTGTCAGTTCCCAGTCTGCCCAGCAGCGATCAGAAGGAGCAAACACTCTGCACAGTTGGCCGTGTGCTGCAGACCCTGGGGGCTAAATCGTGAAGGTGTTTGTTTACAAATGCTCACCTCAGTTGCCGTTGTTCTCCTCACAAAGGAGTGTGCAAGGCAGCTCAGGTTTCCCGAGGAAACAAATGAATTTTAAAAGGAGGAACATTTCATACTTGTCGTGCTCAGCACTTCCTCCCTGATGTCCGGTAGAGAGCGTATGGGACAATTCTTTATACGTGTCAGGACTCGAGACAGTCAGACACAAGCCGGGTCGCTCTGAGATTTAAGACCCTTTGGGATATTTTGCATACTTGTTGTATCATCACCTTTGGCTTTCAACATTTATTGTCCCCCAGGGCCATAGAGATGTCCTGCCTTTTATAGAGTGCACAGATTCAGAGACTCCCCGGGCCCCCCCCAGGGCAACCCAACAGAGTTGGAAGGGGCCTTAGCGAGGCTTGGAGTTCTTGATTTGTAACTGAAATGCTCCCCTGCTGTTAAGTCGTTTGGCCAGGGCACCAGCCTGTTACACCCAGAGGGACCCTTGCTTCCTGCCCACGACCCAGTGAAGTTCACTGAGAGACACTCACCCCGGGGAATCTCCCAGCTCCTAAGACATCCCATTCTTTTCCTCTGTGTGTGTGATTCCCAGTTGACCCCACGAGCTGATTTGCTTTGTGCAGTCCTTATGCCTATTACCCAGTGTAAATATTAATAGCACCCCCTTTCCCTCTTAGATAGAACAAAACATAGGTGTGCGTATACACCCACCCCCTACCATCTACATACAAAACGGTGAAGGTTTGGAGTTGTGAACCAGCTACAAACCTATAGGGGTGAGACTGCTTTTGTTAATTCCTGATTACTTACTGCACGGTTCTGTGATACTGCTGTGCGGAGCCCTCCGGGGGCTCTCATGGAAAGCTGGGTGAGCCACCAGCCTGAATTTGATGGAGTCCAGTCTTGCTTGGAGTCCAGGGTATGGCATGAAGAGCCACTTAGGGCTCTGTCTGGTTCTGTGAGTGCTTGAAGCAGATCAGCGGGTGCTGCCAGCAGCCAAAGAAGTCACTGGCTCTTGTGGTTAAATGAAGATGAGAGTGATAACCAAATTGATAATAATAGCCAACGTGTGGTGTTCACTATGAGCTGGGAATTGTTCTAAGTATTGTACATTTATGCATGTTAACTGATTCTATCTTTACAATAACCTTATGAGGTAGATACTGGTATCATTCCCAATTTACAGATAAAGAAATCAAGGCACAAAGAGGTTAAACAGATTGCCAAAGCCGTAAGGTTTCTGTGCTGGAGTATAAGCCTCACTTCGTGTCCTGTTGGTTTGGCAGGAGGACGCTGTGGCCACATGGCGTCTGGCCATCCAAGCTCTCTTCAGTTAGAGTGCCCACGTAATTTATCATCCAAACTGGGACACTTTGGGAATGAAAAGGAGTGTTATTAATAGTTATGCTAGGACAATAGGCATAAGTGGAATGACAGTGTGAGACACCAGGGCATGTGGCCACCATACAGCTGAAATCAGTCCCTAAAGGCTTGAACTCTACTCTAGCTTAAATCTGTCCTAACAACAATTAAAAAATTAAAAGAAGGAATTTTCTGTGTCATCTGGGAATAACACAAACACATGTGAAACCACGGGATGGGCTGTCTTAGAAAACGGTTGTGAGGAACTGGGAGAGTCTGAGACTTGACCCTCCTTGCCGGCTAACAAGGGAGCCTGCCACAGTGTCGTGGCTGCTGGTAGAAGACCGGTGACTTCTGGGCTGGAGACAAAGAGCTTTGTTCTCATGGCACAGCAAGCAGCATAAGCATGTTTGTGTCGATTCCCCTTTGTCCCTCAAGTCCCATGGGGGTGAGGCAAAGGGGCCCAGGTGTGCGGCACACATGGTGAGCTTGCTTCACGGCCGAGGAACCTGGAGCTTAGCGAAACACATCTTCTATAATGGGCTGCCTGCAAACCCACTTGTGCTTTGCCCTGGGGGAGACGTTGTCTGTATTATGCGGGACAGCAAAGGAATCTGTCCTCTGCTTCTGAGGGAGACACTATCTCTGTCTTCAGAGGCTGTTGGCTCTACAAACATCTTTGAAAAGATAGTTGGTGCCTCTGCTTGCAAGATATGCAGAAACATGAGGACCGGCTCCCACAGCAGCGAGTGCCACAGCCCCGGGGGTGCTCAGTGAGCGCCTCGGCTCGGACTTCTGTACTCAGCGTGGAGTGGACAGGCAAGTTCTAGGCTTCCTACCAAATCAGAGATTCCACAAGATTCTGGTTCTCTTCCTTGGTTTTGGGAGAGCCTGAAGTCAAGACAGAGAAAATGATGACGTGAATGACAGGTAAGTGCACAACTGCTCTTTTTTCATTTGTTGCTTCTCTCTCGCTCTCTTTTTAAATTTTTTTGGTGAGGAAGATTGGCCCTGAGCTAACATCCGTTGCCAATCTTCCTCTTTTGCTTGGGGAAGATTGTTGCTGAGGTAACGTCTGTGCCATGCTTCCTCCATTTTGTATGTGGGACGCCACCACAGCATGGCTTGATGAGGGGTGTGTAGATTTGTTCTTGGGGTCTGAACCTGTGAACCCCAGGCTGCCGAAGCAGAGCACATGAACTTAACCACTACGTCACTGGGCTGGCCCCATTTTTATCACTTTAAGATTGAGCATTTTTGGCAAATCGTTGGAAAATTAATACTGTGCATTGCTCATGTGTGGATGTTTTCTGTCAGAAGATTCCATAGATAATTAATATGAGGAGGTAGACACTTATTAGAATTATTATTCATAAATACGTGAAATATACTTTTCCTACTATCAATATTATTTACCATGATGATTCTAAAATGTTTGAAAAATCAAGTCACCCTAATCTTATTACCTCATGGCAACCACCAGTAACATTTTGGTTTATATTCTTAACAATGTGTGTATGTCTGTGTGTGTGTGTGTGTGTGTGTGTGTGTGTGTGTGTGTTTACATACATATAACCATAGTTGTCATTGTAAATATACAAATGTCAAACTCCTTTTTATTTTTCATTGCTGTGGATACTGTAGGCAGTTTTCATAAACATCACTGTCAAAAATTGGATAACATTACGCTGAATGCAGAAAATTATTTAGCTGTTCTGGTATTTGATCTAAAGCTTAAAGTGTAAGATCACTGGCCCGGGGTGAGTCATACATCTCCACCACTTACAAGCTTTACAACCTCAGGCTATCTATCTGATTATCCTCTCTGAGCCTTAGTCTCCACAAGTAAAATGGGGACAGTCACAGCCTTTTTATAGGGTTGATCGTGAAGACTAGTGAGGTGGAGATGACATTTATAAGTGCTCTAGCACGGTTCCTGACGTGTGGCCTAAATAGTGTGCAACAAATGCTCTTGTTCTCATTATGCATTATGCATCCAGTTCTCCTCCACCATAAACCAGGCTTCAATGCACTTCCTGTGTGCTTTTCCAAGATTGAGGAGTGTTTCTTTAGAACAGACTCCAGAAATGCCATGATTGGATCAGCAGCAGGGACTTTTGTAACATTTGTGACTCCAGGGTCATGTTTGGAAGGTGACCATTCAATAATCGATCCCAGGTGGAGTGCAGGCTCTGTGACCAGTATCAGGGCAGAGCAATGCCATGAATGTTTCAATGCTCAGTAGGACCAATGCCTCTAAGATGCATCTGCAGCATCCTTAGTCGCCATGCCCCTTGACCCTGAATTACCTTGAGCAATGTGCCATGATGGACATGTTCTCTTTACCTGTCCGTCTCTTTAGGCAGGTCAAGGGCTCACGGCTGGTGCCTCAATGGCCCAAATGGTCCAATTTTGCTTCCAAATATGTTGTGTTCTATTGACACAGAGTGTAAAAATGGCATCTGAATGTCTTCACATTGGGCTCGGGCTCTCCCATTCTCCACGGGCTCCACCTCTCCTTATTTTCTTCTGTCATAGGGCTCCTCCATACAGCGGGGCTGTCCACGAAGCCCCTGTGACCCACAGGGCAAGGACTGTGTTCTCTTACCTGTGGAATCCAGTGCTCATCCTGGAGCTGGCACATCAAAGGACTTCTAAGTAGGGCTGGCTGAAGACTCTGGGAGAACATGGTCATACTACACATGCACACAGTTCTGACTTGCTCTGCGACCTTGGCCAGGCATTTTGTCTCTCCACATCTCATTGGTAAAATAAGGAATTTAACGAGATGTCCTCAAATATCTCTTCTAGTTGTAGAAGTCTATGTGTCTGTAACATAATTATAATTATCAATTCCTACAAAGTGCCAGGAGATAAGAAACATGATTTCTCCTCCTTCAAGGATTTTACTACCAAGTTGGGAAATATATTATTGTTAATTATTCATGTACATAAATGCCAAAAAACGACACTGGGCTATATGTGATTAAATCTCCAAAGGAGAGACAGGATGTGTAGTCGGAGTGATTCGTTTATACGCTGAGCATTTACAGAGCACAGACGATCTATGAGCTAGGTTCTGTTCTAGGGGTTATGTTGACACAAGGTCAAGACAATAAGCTATAGGGGCAACAGCCAGAACTCAAAACCATCAAAGGATCTTGGGAAAATGATTTAATCCCCTGAGTCAAGAAATTTTTCTCTATCCTTCTAGGTTCTTCTGGCTAGTCTAAGAATTAAACTGATGTGAGACAGATTAAGAGGAGAAAGTCAAGCACAGTTTAATAACATGTATATATGTGGGAAACCTAGGAAAACTGAGTAATTTGCCAAAATGGCCAAAGCTACCACCTCAAATATCATCTTCAGCTAAAGACAAAAGAGGATGTTAGGGTAGTGGTTTGGGATTTCAAAGGGGAGGAAGGCAATTCACATGGAGATGGAAAAGCAAATGTTTGGTAAAGGAATGTTTGCCATGGCTTGCAAAGACTAAGAGACTGGAGAGGACTTTGATTCACTGGGCCTTGCTCGGTTCCTCCCTGTCTACCACACCTAGTTCATCTTATACTCAGTTCTCTATGGTGACAGCTCCTTCCTGGAACAGGCCTTCTACCTTAGAATCTTTTAGGCAGTTAGGAGAAGGTCAAAATTTCTTCCTGAGTCTTTTGTTCTTAAAAATAATCAAGCCGAAGAGACATTTTGGTGTGGCAAATTCTGCTCCCCTACAAGTCTCACTTTCCATATATGTAAAATTGAGATTAAATAAAGAATTATGGAGAGGATTTGGTGATTTAGTGAGTTTGAAAAATGCTGGGTAAATCGAAGGTGAGATACCACTATTAGTTGCCATCATTACTCACAAATTTCGTTTGCCTAATGATTTTCCATTCTCAGCATTCGGGCTGCAGAGAGGGGCGTGCTGTTGTCCTTGGTCTGGATCGTCGAACACCTTTCTGACCTGGTCTCTCTGCATCCAGCCTTGGTTCCTCCAATGCACACAGTAGTCAGAGTGAGCTCCCCAAATCTCATTGACCGAGTCATTTCCCTGCTACGATCCCAGAGGACACATAATTAGAAAATGGGGGAGGGGCCAAGGGGCTTCCATTTGATCTGTAGTGTTTTATATTTTCAGCTAGGTAGTGGGTTCATAAATATTATTTATACCAGTTATACTTTTTGTCTGCCTAAAATGTTTCTTAATTAAAAGGCCATTCGGGGTGGGGTGGGGGAGTACCAAGGACATTGTGCTCATTGACTGTCTCTTGACACCCTGCAATCTCTGTGGAGGGGGACAGCATCCTCCAGGGTGTCAGGAACAGGAGGGCTCGGAGTCAATTCTCTGGGTCACTTGAGACTTCCAGAAGGTACTATTTTTAAAAAGAAATCAAACCTGTGTTCATGAATTGAGGTCTTTATTTTCCATACAGTGTTTGACAGTTTTCCCAGAGAGAAAGAAAACAAGAGAAAATGTGGGAAAATTCCCCAAATGCATGCAGTCACAGCAAGGGAGAAAACTGTTCTGGTTGCCCAGCTTCTGACTGAAATGCAGAGGAAGGTCCCACTGTCCCCCAGGCCCCAGGCCTCATTCTAATTTATTGAGGGAAGGACCCAGGAGGTAAATCTCGGTGTCATTCTCTAAGCCACCTGAAATGAGCCCATTAAACTGCCTCCCGTGAATGGAGGCGTTTTTCCCAGGGTGGCATGCCCCCACCCTCATCCCACACCAGCCTCACCGAGGGCACCGCCACTCTGGGAGCCCATGCGGCATGTCCGACAATGGGGCATTCAGGAAGGCCTTTCCGGATGGGGTAGAGGCCTGTTTTATGCCCTGTTAATTACTGCAACAATTTATAAAATTCGTGACAAACATAAAGCCCTCACAGAGATTGTATTTCAAATGGTATTTACCTGCAACAGAATCCCCTTTGTTTTTAATTCCTGGATTTATGAGCTGTTGCACAACAAAATGGAACCACCCCTTGTCCCCAATTGGGGGCACTGGCTGAGAGACCTCACGTATGCTGTGGAGACAGAAACCTACTCAGACTCAGACTGAGACACCACAGTCGCAGACCCGCCTCCAGTCCATGGTGTGTCTCAGTTTTGCAGCCTGTGAACTTGGGGAGTGGAGGTTGGACCAGGGCAGGTAAGTTTTCTCCCAAAGAATCTTGGTGTCTCTGAGCTGAAAGGAACCTCGGGCATGAGCTAGTCCAACTGTGTATCCATCACAGGAATCCATCTTCTCTATCTCTGTTTGCATCCTCCAGTGACAGGGAGCTCCTTACCTGACAAAGCAGGCCAGATTATTGCCCTTGGTCTCTAGTCTTGTCCCTTTTTTCTCCTCGCCAATCTTCCCCTTGGCCACAAGAGCCATTTTCCTAAAACTCACATCTGATCTTGTGCTCCTGCTTAAAATCACTCAGTGGCTTCCGTTTGCTTTTGAGATAAGTCCAAAGTCCTTAACAAGGCCTGCGAGTTCCTGCATGGGGTGGTCCCTGCCCTCCTGTCCACCTTCATCTGCAGTGGCCCCCATCCATTCTTCTCCCAGTAATGCCAACCTACTTTCAGTTATCCCCTTGGATTAGATTCCACAGTGAGACTCATGTAACAGAAGGGCCACGGGCTTGACTTTAGGGGCAGCAAGTAAGAGAGTGTTTGTGGAGCTGTTTGATGGTGGCTCCTCAGCTTCCAGGGTTGGGGATGAGGAGATGGGAGCCCTACCGAGGGAAGAGAGGAAGCTGGCAGCTCCAGAGAAGAGAGAGAAGCAGGAGCCCAGCAAGAAAGGACGGACTCTGTGGACAGTCGGGATCCTGAGAGCGGAGAAAGGCTATGTAGTTCCCTGCGGTGAATCCGAGCTGTGGAAGCTGCAGCATCAGGAGCTGGTCGGGTCCCCGCCGTGGGGGCAGCGGAGAAGGAAGCTGAGCTCAGCCCGCTTCTTCTCTCCTCTGCACAGCAGGTCTGGCTTTCAGTGAGTTTCCAGCTGCAGGGAAAGCTGTACATCTATGCAAAGGGGCTAACTTTATGAGTCTTGGACGCGGAGTTGCTTTCATCTTCTCCTCAGTGTCAGAATACGTGTCCTCTGTAAGATACGCGGGAGACGCTCAGATCTGCACCCTCAGAAGCAGGGGAGCATTTATAGAGCAGTTAAAACCTGGAGCGACTGTGTCCTCTGACTTCCAAAGGGCCTATTTTAATGCTCGTGTGCTGATTTCTCTTAAGGGAAGAGCTGTTTCATGCAGAGACCTAAAGAAAAGAGCAGGAACTTCAGTCCATCAGATTTCAGCCGTTCCACTTACTGGTTGTATGACCACAAGCAAAGTACTTCCTCTCTCTGGGTCTTGGCTGTAGTATCTGAAAAAGTGAGGCCGTTGCTTGGAAGAGCTCTTTGAGATGTTCGAGTCCTCAGGAAGCAGAGACTTGACTCTACAAGATGGAGTTAGCGCTAATACCTCCCTCTCAGAGTCGCTCTGCATAGGAATTAAAATATCTATGTTGTTATAAATGCTGAAAGGATGAGGCTTCTGCATTTTCCATCAGACCACATTGTAAGGAGGAGCCGGGAAGAAAAGATGCAATCTGTTTAAGTCGAGGTGCGGGAAAGGGGGAGTTAGGGTGTTTTTGGCTGTAAGTAACAGAAGACCTAACTCAAATGGCTTAAATGATAAGAAAATTTGTCATTTCATATTTTGGGATGTCGGAACTATGGGGGTCCTTAGGTTGGTAAGTTCAGTTGCTCAATGACACTATCGAAGGCCCCGGAGTGAGTCCCAACAGCCCCAGTAGCGAACTCTCGTGTTTCTTACCTTCTCTCCTAAGCACACAAACACCCGCTACCTGAGCAGAAAGCATATGAGAGCAAGGAAAGAGGCGGACTGGCTCCCGGGGGGGAACTAATACATTCCCCACAACCGGACACCCAGCAAGTGGTAGGGTTGATTCAAGGTCAATGACTACTTCCGAGTAGTTCAGTCTTTGAATGCACACTGGCTGGTGTGGAGGGAGGCAACAAGATGCCCAGGGAGAAACACAGTGTCTGTAGAACCATCTGCCTTGGGTTCAGATTTGGCTCCACCCTGACCAAACGTGAGCGCTTAGGCCCATATTTGATGGTAGTGTTCAGTCAGTCCAGAGAATGCAAATCAAGACCATAATGAGATACCACTAAATACCCACCCACGAAAATGGCTAAAATGAAAGAGACCTTAATTTTAGGAATTGGAAACACTGAAACTTTCATACATTGCTGGTGGGAGTGTAAATTGATATGTACCTGGCGACTGATCTAGCCATTCTGTTCCTGGTTATATGTCTAACAGAAATAACTGGTTATGTCCATCAAAAGACATCTATAAGAGTGTTCATAGCAGCCTAATTCGTAATAGTGCAAACTGGCATGCACTCAAGCGTCCACCCACAGGAGAATGGAGAAATACATTGAAGTGTGGTGGACGTGTGTCATGTGCTGCTCAGATCCTGCTTCAAGATGGGACTCGTTGCCCCAGCTGTTGGGAATGCTGTGGCAGAGAACTCTTCCAGAATTGCCTGGGCTGCAAGCCTTGCCCAAGGCTGCTCTTCCTAGGGTAGCCCACAGCTACACAGCACACCTAAGACAGGCTATTTTAGCTTCTGAGCTCTCTGTGGGATTGCCTGAGGTGGTCCTTGGGTCTGCACTGAGCTCTGGACTTCTCCCTGTCCCCAATCCTGCTGCCTGTCCCTACCTTCCGCAGCTGTCTTCCCAAGGACACTTGCTAGTAACTGTGCTGCATGCTAATCTCTGTCTCAAGAGTCGGCTTCCCAGAGAACAAAGCTGCAGTGTGTGTGTATTCATACAAGAGAATATGGCGCAGCCATAAAAAGAACAAACGATGACACAGGCAACATGGATGAATATCGAGTGAGGAAAGCCAGGTATGAAAAGTACACGCTATAGATCCCACTTTAGCGAAGGTGAAAAACAGGCAAAACCAATTCGTGGTGAAAGAGGTCAGAATAACAGTTACCCCTGGCATTAGGGAGCTTTGGGAGGTGCTGGAAATAGTCTATATGTTGACTCAGAGGGTAGTTACACACACACGCACACACATTTATACATACGTGTGTTTGTTTATATTTAACATTTATTGAGCTGTACACTTTGATTTGTGTACTTTACTGTATTAAGCTATACCTCAATAAAAATAATAAAATGAAAAATAATGTAATAAAAACATTGGACTGTGTTATAATTGCCTATGTCCCCTGACAGCCTGTAGCTCCCTGAGGACAGACTGCCTGGCTCGCGGCGGGTGTCCAGTAAACGTTTGTTGAGTGAAGTAATGAGTGTTTCCCTGGTCTACCACTGATTTTTTGGGTGGCCTTCACTAAGTCTACTGCGGGAACTTCATTTTCCAACCATAAATAAGACAAATAGCAAACTCTAATTCACATGTTATACAAATCAAATGAGATAATTGGTGGAAACACACATGTAAATTGTGAACTCTGAGTAAGAGTTAGTACATGGGTTGTGAAGTTGAACCGACAGAGTTAAAAAATAAGCTCCACCAGCTATCAACTGTGTGACCTGGGGAAAGTTACTTAACACCTCTGTGCTTCAGTTTTTGTACCTATAAAATGGGGTAAAAAAAAGTACCTACCTTGTCAGGTGACTGTGATGATTGAGATAATTGGAGGCACTTAGGATAGTGGCTGACACTCAGTAAATTGTCAGTAAATGCCAGTTGGTGTTACCATGTAAGGAATTTTCCCTGGAGAAAATTTTCCTCCCCTTCCCTTTCCCCAACTCGGCTTTCTTCCCCTTTTCCCTTCTCTGGAGCCCACTAGGATCCTGGGATCCAGGCATTCAGGCCTTAAAGAAATGAGTTTCCCCAAAGGGCAGCTGGCCTCCTGCAAAGGTGATTACCCCACGAGGCAGCCCCACACTCTCAAATTCAGGAGTCTGAGCATCATTCAGCCAGCCCCACCCTCCCGAATTCAGGAGTCTGAGCATCATTTAGGCAGCCCCACTCTCCCGAATTCAGGAGTCTGAGCATCATTCAGGCAGCCCCACTTTCTCGAATTCAGGAAGTCTGAGCCTCATTCAGGCAGCCCCACACTCCTGAGTTCACGAAGTCTGAGCATCATTTTTTCCACCAGAGGAGGAAAAGAGGTGTTAATTGGCTGTTTGTGAAATATCTGGGCTTCTGCGACCAGGGCAGCCTGGGAAGGAGGGGCTGCAGGGGGTGAGGGGGCCGAGTGGGGCTCACCTGTGGGAACATTCTCTCCAGCTGTTGAGCCCTGAGGGCAGAACGTCATCTCAGAGCAGGCTTTTCTCCCCTCCCAGGCTAGACTGGGAGAAGTGGCCAAAGATGCAGTCGGGACGGGCGGTGTGGCAGAAGGAGCCCCAGATGACACGGAAGCAGGAGCCCCACTCTCTCAGTGACTTGCTGTGCAACCTCAGCTTGTCACTTCATCTCTAGATTTCCGTAAAAGGGCGGATGGGGACTAGATAATCTGTAAGGGCTCATTCAGCTCTGAATTTTGGGATCCTAGGAAGTGGAGCTTGCTGCAGTAGACTCAGGTGAGATGAAATTTAAATCCAGCTCTGTCATTTCGGCAGCCCTGTGTTCTTGGGCAAGTGATACCACCTCTTTGTCCCTTTGGGGTTTATCTGTAACCAATACAGGTTAGGATAAGAGAGGTTTGCTGTAAACAGGAGCTCAGTAAGTAATAGTCCCTGTGATGGTTAATTTTACATGTCACATGGATTGGACCACAGGATGCCCAGATATTTAGACAACAGTATTCTGTCCGTGAGAGCGTTTTGGGTGAGATTAACATTTAAATTGGTGGATTTAGCAAAGCTGACTGTCCTCCCTAATGAGAGGGTCTCAGCAATCAGTCGAAGGCCTGGAGTAGAACAAATAGGCTGAGGAAGAGGGAACTCCTCCTGCCTGTCTGCCTTCGAGCTGGGACATTGTCTTCACTGTGCCTGGGACTTAAAGTGAAACCTCGGCTCTTGCGGGTCTCCAGCCTGGGCGTTTGGGCTCGTCTGCGCCGCCGGCTCTCCTGCTGCTCAGGCCTTTGGACTCAGACGGAGCTGCACCATCGGCTCTCCCGGGTCTCCAGCTTGCCGACTGCAGATCCTGGGACTTCTCAGCCTCCATGACTGTGCGAGCCAACTCCTTATGATAATCACACACACTCTCACATGTGCGCACTATTGGTTGTTTCTCTGGAGAACCCTGACTAATACAGGCCCCTTCTCATCTGCCTTGTCACTTTTTCAGGGAGATCTTCCTATTTTCTTTCATGCATCTTTCAGCTCTTACTCTCCACTCCCACGTAAGGCAGCGGCTATTTATAGAGGGCAGAAAGTCATCGGCAATAGGATACGTCCTGTTTATCTATTTTTTATTATTCCAAGTGCCTTTATGATTATTACGTAATCCTAGGGACACAACAACCCAGGGAGATAAATAAAGCAGAAATTGTTCTCTTCCTTTTAATTTTAGCAGTGTTATTAAGGTATAATTGACATATAATAATCTACACTTACTAAGTGTACAATTTGATGAATTTTGAGACACGTACACACCTGTGAAAACATCAACAATGTCACAGAACATAGCCCTCATCCCCTAAACTTTCCTCGTGCTTCATCCCCACCCCCACCCCATCCCCAGAGGAGCACTCTGATCTGTTCCCTTTTTTATAATCCCTGAGAAAACTGAGGACCAGAAGGTGACATGTCCTGCCTGTGTCGGGGCTAATGTCCAGTCCCCGGACATTCCTCCCCGTCTTTATTTTAGGAGACCATCTTCAATCATCTCCAGAAGAAAAGGAGAGGGAGCCATTTGTTGAGCGCCCACCACATGCTGAATCTCGGACCAAGTGCTTTGTATAGGTAGCTATGTAGGTGCGGTGGCCCGAGTACTCCTTTGGCTTTAGAGGCCTTCTCTCCTGTGAATGGTCACCTCCATCCCTGAGTTCTCACTAGCTCACGTATCCAGATGTGAGCTTGGATAGTTCTCTCCCTTGGAGTCCAATAAGCATCTCAAGCTGAACTCACTTAAACCTAGCCTTGTTTATAACATACCTCCTCCCAGCCCTCAATCTGTAGTGCCTGCGTTTTCTACTCAAGTGCTCAAGTCAAAAATTGTGAATCAACTTTGAGTCTTCCCTCCTTCTTACGTGGGGCATCTAACCTATCGGCAAGTTCCATTACCTACATCTCCAAGAGAATGGCAATCTGGCCTCTAGTTTCCATGCTCACTTCTGCCACCTGGTCCAAGCCACTATCATGTCCCACTCGAGGCCCCCGCGTTCACTTTTGTCCTGCCCTCCACAATCCTTTCTCCACATGTCAGCCAGAGATCTTCTTAAAACAGATCAGATCATGACCTTCCTCTTCCTAAACCCCGCCCATGGCTTTCCAACACAGTTGGAATAATCTTACCTTCTCGCACAGCCTCATGAGTGTCTGCATGATCTGTCACCTTTGTGAACTGGTATTCTGACCTTCCCACCCCCACCCTGGACACACACACAGCTCCAGCCACTCTGGCCTTCTTTTCATCTGTAGAATATACCAAGCCTATGACTGTCTTCAGTTCTCAGCCCAGAACACCATGCTCTCCCCCTCTTGACATGGATAATTTCTCTTCTTTCCTAAGGTTTCAGCAGAGGAAAAGAAATGGCGGTTATCACCGCTGCCTGTCTTACCGCTTGAGAACAAAAGTAGGAACCTTGTCTGTTTGATTTACTGATGTATTTACTGATATATTCCCAACACCTACGAAAATACCTGACGTATACTAGATGTTCAATAACCATTTGTTGAATAAATGATCAAACAATAGGCATGTTAATCAGAGTAGTTGTTAACCATGTTTACAGTCAAATACTCCTAAATTGCTATATAAAAACTCAATAACTCTTCCTAATTCTTCCCCCCTCCATGTTTTACTTGGCTATGTGCTCTCCACAGTGATGAAACCTTTAAATGTTTTAACTTCTTCATTTTTCTACTCCCTCGTGGAGCCTTTCCTCCCACCCTTCCACCCCCACCTCCTGGGTTTTGCTGAGTAAACTCAGAACTTTCATTCATTATCCCATATTTTCTTACAATACGCCTCTTCTGTTTTAATAATCCTTACTTAACTCACATTACAATTCCCAGTCAAGCATTCATCATTCTTGTAGATTTAGTTATAAAATCCTACAAGATTTATTGCTTACCACTCTTTCTTAGACTTGTCATCTTCCCTATCTTGAGACTTTTGTTTTAATTTAATTTTCATTTGGTTAGAATTCCTGCTTCAGTGATTTCCTCAGCCAGGGCCATGGGCACAGAATCTTTGACTTCTTCAGTGTTTGAAAATTTTTTTTCAGTAATAGTGACCATAACAACAACAGCAACAAAAATATATTTGGTAATAGTTCATGCTGCTCCTGGGTAAAGGGGGTATGACAGAGGATAGTCAAGGGCCTTGTGCTCATGGAACTGACATTTTTTTCTCTGGCCTCTGCACAAGTGGAATAGACTAGCTTATGCTGCAGGAAGCAAAACCCCCAATCCCTCAAAATCTCAAAGGCTTAAAAAAAACCACAAGTCTCTTTTTTGCTCGCACAAAGTTTGCTGCGGTCTCAGGGGACTTACTAGGGAGGTTGTCTGCCACGTGAAAGCTCAGTGTTCACCTCTGTATCAACACAAGCATCTCAGATCACAGCAGCAAGGGGAGAGCGCTGGAAAGCCTCCCACCACCATCAAACGCTTCTTCCCAGAAGTGACACACTCATTTAATTGGTCAAAGAATGTCACCACGCCACACTGCAAATGGGGTAGAGTAATGCCAAGCCCCCTGTATGCCTGGAAGGCAGAGGACTGAAGATATTTGTGATCGCCACCAGTATCTAACTCAGGCTTCACTTACAATTGATGTCTCGGCAGAATATAGGATGCTTGAGTTGCATTTTTTTTCTCTCAACGACCTAAAAATTATGATTCAGTGTGTTCTATTACTAATATTGTATAGCGAAAGTCAGATTTTTAGTTTTGTCTGTCTGTCTATCTATCTGTCTGTCTACCTACCTGCCTGCCTACCACCTATCTGTAGATCTGTGTTAGATGAGGTCTGCCAAGATGACACAAGATAGGGTTAGATATTTAAGAGATTTATTGGGACAGAAGCAGGAGAAGGCTGGGACAACCTTCAGACCATGATGGAGGTCTGAAACCTGCAAAAGGAGAATGGAAAAGAAGGAAGATCGAGGTAGGAGTTGTCTCTGACTGCAGCACAGCTCCAAGAAAGGTTTGGCCGGGCCTATGGGGAGTCGTTGAGCCAAAGTTGTCCCTGGGAGGAGTCCCACATCTCTCAGGAATTGGCCTGCCCTCGGACCCCTGCATGCTTAGTCCTTGGCTGGGAGCAGTGTGCAGGAAGCACGGCCTCAGGGTGAACCTGGTGGTAGGTTCAGGGAGCTGCAGATGGGGCCGCCAGTTGCTTAGGTTTCCTGCAGCAGGAGATCCGAGGGGCACATCTTCATGGCTGCCACAAGAAGCTTATAAATATTTTTTCTTTCTTCTTTCTTTGAGTTTGGTAATTTCATCAGGGGATGCCTACGTGCGTGTCACTTAAAAATTATTCCTATTCAAGACAAATTCCGTATGAAGTTTCATGCCTTTCCTTCAGGGAAATTTTCTTTAGTTCTCTCTCCCATTGTCAATTCTCCTCCATCTGTTTCTTGTTCCCCTTTTGGGACTCTTACTTATGTAATACATCCTCTGCCTGTGTCTTCGACGTCCCTTACCTTTTCACTTACGATTTTCAATTTATGTAGTTTTTGCTCTGTATTGGGTGTTGTTTCTCATTGTATTTAATATCTGAAATGCTATAGCTTTTGGAAATTAACATTTAGTTTAAAAATTTTTATCTCGAATTTTAAAACTCAGAAATCATGTGTAAAGTACCAAAAGCTGTTTGTTGTGTGTGTGCTTTCACAATATCTTATAAAGAGTTCTACCTACATCTCGCCTCCTTAAAACCTACATGCTCCGGTTACTGGGACTGGTCCCCCTCCTTCAATGGCTTCTGATCTTTTAATAATATCTGCTCTGTAATTGCTTGTTTTGGAGGGTATGACACGAGGCATTGGGGTCTTTGGGGCCAGGGAGATTGACAGGCAGTGGAGGAGGGAGAAGTT